GACACAAAACCCCAAGAAAACACACACCAGAAGGGAATCCTAGTTATTAATGAAACAGTGTGTCTAGAATAATCAGAAAATGCTTCAAGCTCTATTTCTAGGCCTTCAGAGAAGACATGCAAAATAGGCCACAATGAATACACTAAAGACAGTCTCTTTTGCAGAAATGGATTTTTAAATATAACGTTTTTCTATTGTATTATTCCCATAATTCCCTACATTTAACAGGACAAACCATTCACCCTTTTTGCATGCTCCTTGTAACTAGTCAGATGTGGAATAAAATTTGCAAAGGTTTCTCAATTTCTAAATGGGGAGCTCCCCTAGTTTATACAAAAGAGAACTGGTGACTATGTGTCCCTGAGGAGAAATCCTCCACTCTGCCACATGCCTATGTCTATGTCACATGTTTTCATGTCTATGAAAGCCTAGACTTTCTCACCATCAGTCCATTTTCTCTGGCTCACTTCTATCTCCAGGCTTTTTGAGGGGAACATGAGACTGATTAGAGTTTTAGAATGAGTAGATGGGCAATATATTAGTTTGGTTGAGAAAGAAGAGGGGATGCCATTTTAAAATGATCTTTTGGACTTCAGAACCAGTCTTATGTATGTATGGCAGTCTCAGCATTGATCATTCAAAAAATTTAAAGTAATTAAATTAAATCAGGCGATGCCTAATTTGAAGAGGGAAATAATAATGTAATGCTAGTAGTCTTTAGATTGTAAGTACCAGTGAAATTCCAACCAACTCCAGCAAAAGTTTTAGGTCTGTGTTGCTAGGGGATGCATAACTGGACCCATATCTAAGTGCTTGGACAATATGTTTCTTCTTCCTTTTTTGTGACTGTACAAAGGTTTTGAAATCCTTATTCAGGCATAATCTCTCATTCGGCCAAGTTTTTGTGTAATGAAAGCACTACCTGTTTCAATGACTTTTACATGGGTATAAGATTTGATCTTGCTTCCACTGAAATCAATGTGAACTTTGCTATAGATTTCAAGGAGAGCAGGATTTAGCCCTGAGTAAGGACATCAGGACTCCCCTCACCAAATAACAATTTTTAATGTTCATACTAAATCTTTATCATGGGTGGACACAGAAGGATTTCAGCAGAAGTGTAGATGACATGAGACATGAGAGAAAAGTACTATTATTTAATAAAAAGAAAAACATTAACAATCAACCCTTTGCAACTTTTAATAGTTTTAAATTCAGTGAGTCAAATTCATTACAGTCATGAGCGTGTGCAATTTCACTGCCTTCTACTCAGTTATTCCAATAGTAAATCAATGCCAACATTTTTAAACATCAGTGCCTAAAGTTAGACACCCTAAGTCCAAATTTAGGCACCAAATCAGGAGCCATTCACTTGAACAGAAGATGTAGGTGCTCACCCCCAAAGGAAATTCTGGCCTCTTTTCCTTAGGTGCCTAAATATGGATTTAAGTGATTTAGCCATTACCAAAAATATCTACAATGCTCCCTTCAAAACATCTAGTTTCTTCAAATCTCCTTAGAAACTGAATTGAAACCAATAGTTTTTCCTCTTAATAATCTAGAGATTGGATTGAAAAAATTAATTATAATGCTTTTGAAAACAAAAAGTAAATCTTTGAGTTGTGGTAGTATTCATCCTAGAGAAACACACACTAAAATGGAATTGCTGTATTTGGCTTGTTTTACACAAAGTGATGCTTTAAAAAAGAAAGAAAGAAAGAAAGAAAGAAAGAAAGAAAGAAAGAAAGAAAGAAAGAAAGAAAGAAAGAAAGAAAGAAAGAAAGAAAGAAAGAAAGAAAGAAAGAAAGAAAGAGCAGATTACCATCTAGTCAAATCCTATGTATGCAGAAATGCACATAATTTTTTTCCTCTTGACAACTCCTGTCTACAACTCAGCCTATGCAGCGTTTGTGGGAAATGCCTGCGTATAGCAACTACATTGCATTTAAGGGATAACACGTGAACAATTTTGTATGCGTTCACGTGAAACACTTAACCTTTCATAGTCTGAAGAAAAGTTGAGTGGCTCCAGCTATGCCCTCAGTTACACTCACGCAACACCAATCATATTCAGCTGCTTTGCACTGGTGTAAGTGAGAAGAGAATTTAGCCCAATATGCACATTCTAGATTCCAATGTATTTTTTCCACTTGGGGGGCCAAAACAAGCCAAATTAATGATTCACATTGATTACAATTCATCTCAGTAGGGTTACATCAATGATGAATTTAGGCACAAAAGTTAATGGGGTCCTTTAGGGTGCAGTGAGGGAAAAATATCTCTGTAAGGTTAATTTGTGTAACTCAGGATGTTGCCCTTCAAAATGCACCAAATTTGAATTCTGCAAATGGAGTCATGGTGTATTATTTCAGTTCATATTTTTCAATGCAAATTTAAAGGTAAAACATATACATTAAAGCATAGCATTTATAAAGTGCTTTACACATTCAAATGATCCTGTGCAACAAGATTTCTGCTGAAACCAATGGCATTTTAGAGT